TTTTTTTTTTTTTTTTTTTTTTTTCTTTCTTTCAAACCGAGACGATATTTTCTTCTTACTGACAGATATTATACGTGTTTATTGGGACCATTTTCGACGCTTGTCGTTGGACTGTGCTTCCTATAACATTTGACATGCAAAAGAATTTTCTATTGTTTTCAATTGTATTCTCAGTAAATGTGAATCTGCATAGAAATCCACAATCTAATTATTAAGACGGCTGTAGATAACTTCTTTCTCTCTTTGCCATATACATTCTCAGACTGGCTTTAAATTTCATCTATCTATGTATCTATAAGCGTTCGAATATATTTTTCGTGAGCCACTGTGACTTTCAAGAAAGAGTAGTATCATATCAAATGATAAACTATGTAACGAGAGAACAAAGACGAGAACTTCGATTCAGTACAACGTACGCTTTGATTTTGAGTAGCAGAAAGAATCGCCACACGTAGCCCGTTGTTTTTCTATTTACATTGGAGGATGTTCAGCAGGATCTGCGAACTATGCCGTGTGAACTACTTAGGGTAATTGTCCATGTAGAATACAGAGAATGGTGATATGAGTGCAAGTCGAAGATTACCGTATCCGTAATTAGAAGCTAAGCAATGTGATTTGTGGTACAGCTAGCATAAGTAAATCTTAACTGTTTAGATTAAGTGGTGGGATCGCGTTTTTCTCCGCGAGTCCACGCGTTATTACAAGTCTGAAGAACGATTGCGAAGAGATTAGACTCTACGTTAAAATACTATTACACAGTCAATCGCGAGAGTTTACATACGTCTGCCACATTTTAAATATTCAAAAAGGCACGAGGACTCTGAACCTTTTACGAGCACTAATTTATTTTATTTTGAATTTATTCATTAGCCAAAGTCAGGGGGCGACAAAATTTGTTTGGTGCAAGAAACATGAAATTTATTATACAATTATTGGAATCGAATTTTTATGCATTTTTTGTTTTTTTGGGAAACTTAAGATTGCAAAAATATTATAATGATAAATATTAGGTGTAACATTTAACATAGAAAATATAATTAGAATAAGTTTTATATGCTTAACTCTACACATGTTAATTATATATATTTTTTTTCAATTTATTTGCATGTTCTTTAAAAAAACAATTGCCATTTTAGAAATTGTTGTTGTAATTTCAATTCACAGATTAAGTTCCTTAAAAAGGTTCAAAAATCCTGTCTCCATTTTAAATACTTAAAACTTGGCAGGCGTACATAAATTTCTGCGACTAACTGTTTATGAAAAATCCTACGTAACGATGTATTTTTATTAATTAAACGATGTTGTACGTAATAATAATCGTTAGTGTATGTTGAAAACGATCGTACGTATAGAGAGAGAGAGAGAGAGAGAAAGGAGAGATGTTAGCCTCGTAGGTTAAATGCCAAAGAAAAGGTCTCTAGATGATGGTGAAAATGATTTTCGAGAATTTTTTTGTAGAAATTCGTCGCCAGAACGGAGACTTTTCCTTTGGCGGTTCGCTAGAAACGTCCATGTACAAACATGTGTGCTTTACTCTTGCCAATATCTCGCTAGACGTCAGCTAGATCTCGCACTTTAGACGTGTTAGTTGTCGCAATGATGTTGTCGCCATTTTCGGCTAATCAATAAGTTCCATAAATTCGTCACGCGAAGTTTGTCATGAATTCTCGGTCACTGCCATTCGAACGTTCAATTCCTTTCTCAAAATCAGTACACGAGGGCATGTACAAGAATACGCACGTCCATAATTTCGCACAAAGTCTGAGTTTTTACGGATATCTACATATATTATATATAAATACATATTATATATACACTCGAGATTTTACGATTTTTTTTTTTTTTTTAAGGGAAATATTAGGCAACCAAGAAAGATGCAGGGACGACGTATCATACTGAAAATATTTTTTTATTCCTCGAGAAATGCTTATTCTTTCTTCAAAACCGTATATAAATTACGTAACAACATGCTTATCGCACTGTCCTATTTTGTAACGATACTTTCATGCCCTTTTTGTGCAAGTAAAAAGTGAAAAAAAGAAAATTATATTTTCCTTGATTTCTCTTTCTGTCATTCTTCGTTTGTCACAAAAGATTCTTTCTTGGTTACGTAATACTTATCGAATTATGAATGAATGACTAAACGGGTGGTTTGTGTTAGCCTCGTCGAGCTTCTCACGTCTTACGTTCTCGCCGTATTCGCTTTCGAATATATAATCCTGGTGGACCAAGAATAACGTAGAAAAACGACATAGGGAGAAAAACGGACAAAGAGAGGGAGTGGTCGATTCTACTGGATGAATATTACAAATTAGAAATATCGTCTATCGTCGTTATCAGCCGTTCATTAGATAGCACATAATGACAGATGCATATTTTATAATCGAGATTCGTGAACGAAAGAGACAAGGCCGAGCTTAGGCGTGTAGTTTAACGTTGTTTACTCGATAAAGTGTACCTTAAGAGTGATACGTAGCAAGTCCGATACATTGTCGAACGATGTAACTAACAATGATTCAGAATAAAGCTTGGTTTTGTAAAGAAGCCGCGTGTCGCTCGATGGAATCGTAGGAATTCTTTCGAGCGTAATAAACTAATAGAAAAAAAAAAAAAGGTTTGGAAAAGAGAGATCAATGCCCTTTCGCCTACAAAAATTCTAAGAAACTTAAAACATTATGGTATCAGGATTCATATATATTGACAATCACTAGTAAAGCGCGGATTTTTGTGAACGCAGCGCTTTATTTCTTAAAAATTATGTTCCTGATTAGTTCTCTATATTCTATATATTTTCTGTGTTCAATTTCTATTCAAGTCTAGAGACAATGGAAATTTTCGTTAATTTATATGAAAGAAAAAGTGATTGTCAGATGTCTTCAAGAAGGACACTAACTTTTCAGCATTTAACTCTAGATAACCACTCTTAAAAATCAACCTCTGCCAAAGACACTTGTTTCTAGTTTCAACGAATTGGTCCGTTGATCGATGGAAGAAACGGATACGGACACGAACGCACTGATTACCCGCAGGTCAACGATTTTATCGCGACCGATATGTCACTGAAACACGCCCAGGTAAGTATTTAACGAGGAATGCAGGATCTGTAGCGAGCAACCGAGCTATTGTCTGCAATTTTCTTAGCAAACTCCCGCGCTCGCTGCGCGTTGGCCAATATCTGATTGTGAGATTTCGCAACAGCCGGCACACGATCGTTGAACTTTCGCAATGTGCGCAGTAACAACACTGGGAAGGCACAGGCTCTCCCATTGTACGTAACATTAACTTCACGTAATCTAGATTGATCGGCCGTGGTAGCCGGCGATAAATAAAAATCTGTCGTTAGTGTATTTCTATAGTCAAGTTCAGCCGAGCACGAGAATGAATGAACGCAAGTAGAAACGTGATTATTATCTTGATTGATGCAACACGCGCGAGATTATTCCCCCGATTTTGTGGAGGTCGAAAAATGGATTCATTTATCACTTTCTTGCATCTACTTGTACCTGGACACTTTGCTCGATCTTTGGTAACAGAGTGTGTGTGTGTGTGTGTGTGTGTAAATCAAAAACTAGAAATTAGAAGATGTACAAAATATTCAGAGAACGATTTTCTAATTGGAGAAATATCCAAAAGATAGAATTATAGGAAATTCCGTTTCCAAAATATTATCTTCATCGAAATATGAAATTTATTCCAATTTAATTTATCAATGAAATTTTATCTTATTATTCTCAAGCTCTACTATACCCAATCAGTTGCCAAGAACAATATATTCAAAATGTTCAGAGCTTTCGTTAGACCGTTCCACATAAGGGAAGAACAATGAAACCTTCTAGAAAAGCGTTTCCACACACACGAGATCCAATCTTGGCTCGATGACGCAAGCTGAATCATTTAATTACCAGAGGTAAAGGAACGTGGCGACGTGAAGTTAATGAATCGCAATTAAAGTGTTTTCTAAGTTCGCGTCTCGCCAGATACGATCATTGAGAATGAAGGCCCATTCTAACCGGCCACCATTTCTTCTTCAACTGTATCATCTACTCACGCGTTTGAATCGTCCGCAGCTATGTCGTAATCGTTACGAACTTCGTGTTCAACGATACGCAACCATCGATTCAACTAATTAACGGAATCGTCAATGAAAGGAATTAGCAGTGGTCGTCTTACGTGAAACTTTATTGCCATCAGCTGAACATTGTAGCGCGTGATAATCATTAGAATTGCGATATCAAACGAGTTGCAATGCTAATCTACTGTAATGATTGTGCGAATGCGAAACTACAGTGGCTCACGAAAGTATTTGGACATATCGTAGGAACACTTCTAGCTGTGAGGAATCGCGTCGATGAAGATAATATTTTTGTGAACGTAAGAATGATAAAGCGAATGTACGTTCGTGAAAATATAATAACAAATACATAATTTTCCTTTTCAATTATTACGTAATTGATTTCAAATATTGATGTATTCGATAAAAGAAGAGTAATGTTTCTAGACAATAAGAATATGATTATTATTTGGATGATAGAAAATATTTTTAATTAATCGTTGCTTTAGACTCTCAATAAATTAGTAATAATACTGAACTTCAAATACTTCCGTGAATCACTGTATTCGCGTATATTCTGAGATCGAGAATTACACTACAATTACACACAATCGTAGAAACTACATGAAATCATCTCGTTTGAATATTCATTTCGATCGCTAATATTAAACTACTGTCGATATTAAATTAAATTCACAAATGTCATTGTCTTTGTCCAAGTTCAATGTTCAATGTTCATGTTTCAAGAGCAAGATCCTTCGACGATACGATGCGCTGCCTGATTCGCTAGGAACCTTTCCACCCTCTCTCTAAATTCTCTGCTGGACTCCGGAAGGGGTAACCTCGGCCCCGAGTTCCTCAGACCGTGCAACGCTGTCAAATTTTGCAAGCTCTCCGACAGCCTGCGATCGTGATCCAGAATGTCCGGCCTTGGTGCCGGCGGTTTCCTCTTTCCCATTGCCACTTCGTCCAATTTCACGTTGCCGGTCGTTCCATTCACGTAGCTGCTCTCTGGCAACCGATTCATCATCCCCCGAAGAGCTATTCTGGCGCTTAAAGCGGACCAAAATATCTCGAGGAGAGACGCCACCAGCACGTTAACCGTGAGCAAGATTTTGGTGTGCGACGACTGACGATGATCCCTGTACCAGAATGACATCATTCTGCTCTTGATCGTTTCCAAGGACTTCTCTGTCACGTTCTCTGATGAATCTCCTTGTACATCCCCCTCGTCCCTGTCATCGCTGTTAGCTAACAAGTTCTGTGAACTTTCGATTCTTTCATCTCCTTCGGGATTAATCGTCGAGGTTCTCAAGATGTATCCAGAGATATTCGACATGTTGTCAAACACAATTCCAGGCATGGGAGAGTAAGAATGTGTGCTCGAAGAGTGATCGTAGGTTCCACTGAGATTGAAATTGTCCTCGTCGAGCGACGTAGCAACGTCGTTCAATATCGTGTCGTTCCTCAGGTGTTCAACGAGGTGAGAGTGGTCTCGTGGTTGGTCGAGCATCTTCCCGAAAGACCATAAGGAGCCTCTGCTCTCGGCAGCAGCCGCGATGTCGAACATCGTGGCGATAAAACAGAGAACCGCCGCAGTCAGGGAGAACAGACATCCGTAGAAGAAGATAGCGATGTTTCGATCGATATACCATCTTCTCCAGGCGAGCAGACCAGTCACGAAGGGAACTAAACAAGCCACTGACAGGATCGGGCCTTGAAGAGATAAGGCCAGGCTGCCCAGCAGAAGCGAAAGCGCACCGAGACCAAAGTGCACGAAGGACAGGCCTCCGACGGTTGACGCCGAGTAACGTCGCTCTGACGGATACAACGAGGACAGAGCTGGCTTCGTTTTTACTTTTATCACGTACACGTTCTCCATCGTGAAGCTTTTGCAATATTCGTTTGACAAACTCTTTCACTAACGGTCCAAATTAAGCGAAGAAGGCTACTAGAGAGAAATTTTCAATGAGTTTGGCGAAGAACATAACACGCTTGCCGAGGTAATCCATCGTCGACGAATTTTTTAATATGTACATGGATGTTAACTCTTAACTGGTATCAGTGGGCCACTGTCGACCGTAAGAATTTAGAATTTAAATTATGTATTTTATTTCGGAATTCTTCATTCATATCTGGAATTATTTTATCTAGCTTGAGGAATTTTGGACTTTATTAGTATATAAAATAGGCTACTATCATTTACAATACAACGACACCATTTGAGGATTAATTGAACGATTACCTGTAACTTGACTTTGGGATTAAATTACTCAATTTCGTAATTTTTAATTTAATCTAATCGAATTTCATTCACGTAAAATGTAAAATATCTCGAAATTCTGTAATATACGACCCAGTTTGATGCCACTTGAGAGTCAACCTCGAACGGAAGTTGCTTTGGCACTTGAACAAAGTACAAGCAAATATTACGAATTCACACAGAATGAAATATCAATCGCTCGAGAACAAATCTCCGACAAGTAACTAATCGAACCTCTCAAATATTCCTAACAAAGACTACTCTCAGTTTCACCATCCTACGCTCACAATCGTGACTTTTTGCAACGCAGAATCGCTGAGACGAGAAATACGGACAATAATTTCCGTGCCAGTCAATTATGCTAACCGCTTGAATTTAATTGAAATCCCCGTACCAGCGTCGCATGGGTTTCCTCGTGCGCTCTCCTCAGCGAGCACGCGCTTGTGCAATTGGCACTATAACAATGGAACGAGAACGAAAACCGAGGGAAAAGGAACCGAGCCGCAGTCTCTGTCCAATAAACACGTAGACGCGAAACGGTAAATAGGTTTAACAACTCGACGGAGCGTCGTCGTCGTTGCTTCAGCTTCGTTTTTCTCTCATATCGCTGCGAAACATTATGCAACAACAGCGGTTGCGACTGCCAGGCAACGCAATTATCCAGCTGCACGCGCGTATCGGCGCTCTCGCTGGCTCAGGCTTTTCTCAGACACACGCCGTTTTCACCGGTTTCTTGCCGCTTTGTCAATCCAGCCGCGCGTTCGATTTTTCGATCTCTTGGGAAATCACTGAACCAGTTCCCGTCCGCGAGAACCGCCTGCTTTGTCACCGATCGCTCCTCGAACGATCGTTCCTCGTAAAACCTGATTCAAGCTTCTCGTTCACTTCTTCCGTGCGGTTTCAATTGAGAACATTCGTTGACGTGACGAACGCTAGTGTGATTAACATCCTCGCGAGCGATTCTTTTCGTTGAATAACCGGTTGCTTCGTTCAACTCGTAACTCGCTAAATTTTTAGCGAAATACGCGTGTTATTCTTCGCACACTCCGAGCAGTTTCACACTCACTCGCAGCGAGTGACTCGCTCAAATCCAGTGATCGACTCGAACAGTTCAAGCAATTGGCAGTTTCGTTCATGTAAGTCTCGTTAAATCGTCACGAAGCACGTCATTCTTCGGCACACACTGAATTTTACTTCGCATATTATTAATCGAGAAGTTACATCACAGAAGATCGCGAATTTGAAGAAGTTGATTTTGCGAGGAGTGACGACTGCCGACGAAAAACACTTCGTTCGCAGAGCCTGAGCTACGAACGAAGACTAGTTCGGAGTTTGAAATTACTATGAGATCCTGAACAGAGACCTCCCACGCGGTCGGTTCTCGCAGTGAAAGGGACAACAGAGAACGACGGATAGATGAACCTTCGCGGTTGTTTTAAGCCTTCTTCACACCACTTTTCACGTGCTCGTGAAACGATGTCACGCTTACAACGCGAGAAATGCATCTATCTATCGTAACTTGTTGATGCATTGAAGAAATATGTACGTTACAATACAATTAAGGCGCAGGAGTCAAGTAACATGTCGTTTCGTACGCAATGTGTGTTCAATGCTTTCAATTGGATGTGCTTGTGGATCTGTGGCAAATTTAGGGATGCGAAAAACTGAAAAATAAAGTGCACATCGTGCACATTTAACAGACTACTCGGTTAATCCAATTATTTTGATAAAAATATAAACTCGCGTGAGTTATTTATCATTTGCAGATCATCACTCGTAGAATCGTCACGAAGGACTTAGGCTAACCTTTGTTCCTCGTAGAAACACAGGGGCTTGGCACCCGACCTTTTCTCCCAAGCTCGAGCCCACATACTACCATTAATACCAATATCAATCCAATTTAATAATAATCGTATAACATCTTTTGCAATGGCAAAGGATGATACTGCTAATTTTTTAAATAATATTTCACGATCGTCTCACGATTTAATGAGATTTAATGAACCACTACTTTGTAAAAAAATTAACAATACTACTAGTCGTGACTAAAAGATTAGTCTCTGTAATTCGTCTTATTTTTATCCCAAATGAAGAGTTGGCATATAAAGGCGTGCATAGCGTTTCACGTGAAGACAATTCCCAACAACAGGGATTAATTAATCTGATTGCGCTGTTTGTACCAGAGTGATTAAAAGGGAGGCCAATAAAGATTATTACGACCGGGAAGCAGAATATTTTATTTTTCAATTTCCTGCAAACAATACCCCGTATCGTATGGTAAAAATACTACATCAATGGTTTGAACATCAAAGTGTTTAATGGGGAAAGGTTCGATGATTCACAGCCTAGTCGAAAACCATTGACAGAAGAGGAACAAAAACCGACACGTTTCGGCGCGTGTCATAAGAATAACGTGGGCACGTGTGCACTCATGTTTTTCAAAGCGATTTCCTCGCGAGCAATTTTAACGCTACCACCAATTTCAGTTCATTTGTTCACGAACTGATGATTTGTTGCACGTTCAACCATCAGCTCTCCAGCTGTGGGAAATTTTCATATTTTTCTGTATGAAATTTACATAAAAATAATCACAACGCGAAAAGAAAAGGAAAAAAAGAAATCAAAAATTACATGGAGAGTTAAATGAGATACTTTGAGATCATCGAAGAGTAGGAAAATAATTGTAAAGATTTCAATTCTTAAAACACGGACGAGAGATATGTTAACCTGACATTTACCGCAAGAAAAGAGAAAAGCTCACTTTCTCGGTCTCTAGGAATAAAATTCTTCTGGTCACTGATAAATCACTCGAGCGGAAAATCTGCCACGCTTTCCTGGGAACTGATCGCGATTCCAATTACAATAACGACGAATGTTTAACACGGGCAAAACGAAATGCGTTCAACTCGCTTAAAGAAAAAATACTCTCATTATACTAAAAATATCGTTCAAGACGATAATATACCTTCTCGTCATTTATTAAAATATGTTAATGACGCGGGTGAGGAAAAAAAAAAATGGTACTTTTTCTGCCCTCGATTCCTTATATTCATTACGGCACAGTCTCTCGAGAATTTTGTGCAAGCTTCCCGGATCTTTGGAAGAACAGATCCCATTCGCTCATGCGTGAAATACTGATAGGTTTTTTGTTAAAACCTAAACTACTTAGGTTACTATTAGGCTTCAACGATTATAGTCTTCCTGAAAATAATATTAATCGAATTTTGACAGACAAGGATCGTGTAAAATAGAACTTCGAAAAATTATGAATGATGCTATCATCTGCATAGTCGCGTCTTCACCAAGCGTTAAAGTCTCCGCGCACGCAATAATTTCTCCCAAAAACTCTCATCGGCGACTCCAATTTACGCTCGGAATTTTAATGCGTCCACTTTCCCCCCCCCCCTGTTCCTCGAAATGACTTTTCGGCCGTTAACGTGACATTCGCCAGCACGTATGAGCTAACCGTGTATTTCGTGCACGAAGAGTGAAAGATAAAGAGCGTGTTTGTGATCGGGGCGCGTTTGTATTGGAGCAGCTGTTACGATTGGGGCACGCGTCCCAACGGTCGCAGCAGCTGCCCAGAAAATTGTCTATAGTGCCTTCGACTGAAGTTCTTTCGTGATATTCACGCGATAACGCTTTTTATACTTGCACATTTACTTGTAGGAGAAAAGAAAAAGTTATCAGTTAATTGTCGCTAGTTCGATTAAAATTCTGATAACTAGTATACAAAATTATTATAAGCAAGCCAATGTAATATTCTATCGAAGCAATGAAATAAATAAAATTGTCAAATTACAATTGTGGATACGTGGATATGTAACTTTCGAGTCAAATGCTCGACAAGATTTCTTGAAATTCCACGTATATATATTTTTATATGTATATATTTTTTTTTTTCGTGACGACTTATTATGTTGTGGAATTAACAAAACATTCAGTTATTCGATTTACAATTTCTCGCGAAATTACAGATATATATTTATAGAAACTTCATTATTGAAGAAATTAAAAGAATAAGAGAAAGTTTGTGATAAAAAAAAAAATACAATCATTCAATCCTCTAAAACCAAACCATTACCATGTGTATTGTAAATCCACATAAGTTTTCACGAGAAATTACGAATCGATCATTTTAGGTATTTCTATCTAAATTTTGAAATTAATACGGAATGGTATTTAAAATTTAAATATCATGGCGGAGGTGATATAAATTCCTTGACACATTGTCGAGGGTAGAAAACGTTAAAAGGAACATACTATATACGAAAGGACCCCCCCACCCTTGGTATGTGACACCAAGTTTTATATTATGTGAACCTTCTGACAACCCCTCAGGTAATACGTCGCATATGCACACGCGTGTGCGGTGGTAACGCTCGAAGAAACGCCCTTCGTGCATCTGCTCTGGAGGGAACTCGTGTGGCAGTTCGTTGGAAGCAACCGTACTGTACAGATCGAACGCACTTCAACATCGGACTTTGCCACTCGCATCAAGTTTCTCACACCAAAGTGAAAACAAATTTTCCACAGTAGCGGAGTGCAGTCGAAGAAATAATGGAGAAAGTCTGAGAGTCAGGGTGTTTCGTGACTGCTGTGAAACCGAACAGAAAAGAAAAAAATGTGCAAGGTATACCGTGCTTCCACGAAAGATATCGCCTCAACGCCAGCACGAACGGTAACATTCTCCCTCGAAACTTGGACATCGCCAACCTACGTGAGCAACGTTTTCCTGATTCTCGTCAATCGTCGAAGAATAAATCGTAAGTGGCAGGATAACTCTTTGGAACGGAAGCCACGAGAACCGACATTCTAAATGTGCGCAGAAATCTCAATAAAGTTAACTCGCTCAGCGAATTATTGAAATATAAAGCTCTGATCAATAAATGAGCAAGAACCTCCGACCTTCGGAAAGTTTGACGAAAATTGAACGAATCTGTCCGAGACGATAAAATGATGGCCCAAACGACAGAACCAACTCCGGTTCATTGTTACACGAATCCGTCGTTCTGCCGGCAATCGGAATACATACCGGAAGACCAAACTGCCGATCTACCGCCACCGCCTCATTTTCAAAATAATGACGATCTACCACCACCGCCTCCGCCGTTGCAATTGCAGTACAACGGCGGTCAAAATAACCCCGCGTTTCAAGAAGCAGGCGTGGATGGTAGGATCGAGAACACGGACAGCCGAGACAGATACTGTTACCTCGAGGGTAACAGCAATCCCACGCATCGAAGGTATGGAAGCGTCCCGGTGGAGGAACATCGCGCGATATACAATCAAAGTTCAAGGTACGAGTACATACAGGACGAACAGAGGGGTCAGATACAGAGGAGGGGTTCGTTGAGGTACGAGTTCATTCCACACCAGCAGGTGCAACAACGTTCTGCACCGGCGACCAACCAAGACGACGGGCGGGAACTGCAGATGCAAAGTTGTCGGAACAACAGCGGAAGATACGCCGTTGTACCGGGTGATCCGGATTATGAGGACGAGAAGACCGCGTGGAATACGTCGCAACATGTGTCTACGACACGCAGGCATATCAACACGCCACAGGGTAGGTTTATTAGAATAGTACATTAATTGATGGTAAATGTGCCTTGGAATTTTATTGCGACTTTCTCGCGATTGTGGTGTCAACATGTTCGTCGAGTAATGTTCTTGATACACTTCGGATGAGATTTTGATAAAAATGAATATGTAAATGAATATCGTGAATTTGTATGAAAGAGATTAGCAAGAGATGCTAACTTTTTTTTAAGTAAGGATGATAATATGATTAACTTGCCATTGGAAAATGCTTCTTCGACGATGAGTTAACACATCGTCTTTGGTTAAAGATCACTTGCCATGTGAAATAATTATATGAACGGTATTGCCTCGTGAGATATTTCATTTGAAGAAACATTACGTGGCGACATGTTTCAAATGCGAAGAAGTTAAAATAACAACATGTTATTAGGTCGTTACACTAGAGTGCCGTTGCAAGAAGAAGACCCTCCAGCTCTACCGGAACGAAACGCCCAAGAGCTATCGGTCTCCCCGAGAAACAATCTAGCTACACAAAAACTGCACGAGATATTGACCACTCCGAGGAAGCCCCGATCCAGATCCGAGGAGAGAACTCTATCTCCAAAGAGGCAACAGTCGTTCAATCAAACCGGTACACCACAAAGAAGAGCACTAACTCCGAGTGGTTCCCCAACTGGTACACACGTGTTCGGCAAATGTTTGTCTTGAAAAATGTCCAAAGTAGAAGAAACATCTTAGTAAATTCATAGATCACTCGGGTTACAAACTGAGAGTGAAATTGTGGAATGCATTGAAATTTCAGAATTTAAAGAACATGTCACTGCAATATTTTTCATTTGTTCTAACTTTAGATAGTCTGTATATAAAGTTAAATTTCATGGAATATAGGTCGAACGTTTAGTCCTACGCGTTCCACGCCTCAAGGAACACCACACAATCGTACATTCTCCATGGGACCTCAAACTTCCACCCCTAACAAAGAGCCATCGGCACGAAGGTGCCTGCCATTATTAGAAAACCCGCCTCGACAGCAGGATGTCTGTCCAGCCAGCAACTGTGGGAGACTACGATACATTGGCACGGCTCCGGTTGACCTTGTAACGATGGGTCACGGTGACCCACCGCCTCGTTACGCGTACTTGGAAAATGGACCAGAATCTATGCCAATGGTATCCGGTTCACCAAAGTATCAAGTGATACCAGCAGGACAGAAAAGGAACGCGTACCAAAGCATAGAAAGTGCCTTTATCGCTAGAACCGCAGTGGTAAGTATAACGACTTGCAGAAAATTGTAAAAAATTGTTTAATTTAATTTCCATCAATATCGAGATTATTATTGAAATAGTAACAGCATCTATTATTAACAGCATTATTCACAACAGAGACATTTTCATTGCGTGTATTAGGAAATTGAGAGTTTGAGAAATTTCTTTCTGTAATACACACCGTATCTTGTAATATACAGTTTCGATTATGTAACCGCGTGTAACAGATGAAATGAAATGATGAACTAATCATGTGGTTTATCTATATAGGTTCCACCACTATCACCACCGAACAGTGACGCAAATACAACCTTGGCTAGCGGTTTGGAGAAGAACGACAGAAGAAACGCACCGCTCTTGTTGGTCTTGGTTGGTATTTTAACCTGCGGTTTGGCTTTGTACTTGTCTTGGACGCAAGGAAGAAGGTAATTACACGCGAGTAAAAAGATTTGTAACTTTTACCAGGAACTAAACGGATATTCATTTGCAGATATTATTACGACAGTGCAGCAGGTTGCGGAGCCTGCTGCGCCCTAGCTGGCGCTTGTAGAACATTAAGAAGAACTTGGACAGGACTTGGACTCGCAGGATTGTCGGCACTAAGCTGTGCAGGGCTTCTATTACTTGCTGCCAAATCCCCTAAATCTGGAACCCCTCTGCACGATGTAACGGCTGGTGCTTTGTGCGGAGTTTCCCTATTGGGTGCTATTTTGGCGCTGATCGCGCTTCTGTCACCAAGGTGCAATCTAGGACGACACAGAAGAGTGCATTCTTGGATTCCTCGACTGTCACCCTAACTCATGTCTCAACGTGCGTTCTTGAAATATATAGAATATGACACATCTCGCGTGTTTCAGTTGTTTTCAGAAGTGAAAACAATTAATTGTGAGAGATAAACTAAAGGTTCTGTACAATGCAATAATGTTAAAGAATGTTAAATATGTAAATTAATCAATCTGTATCCCCCCAATCAGTAAAAATATCTGAATTCAAATTTAAGACATGTACAATTTCCACAGTATGACAAAATATCTGAAAATTGCTAAAAATTCGTGAAATATGTCTTATTATATACAATTACTATTAACTTTTACACAATGAAACGTTGTCTGATCAGATATTGAAATCCTAGTCAGCTGTTTCATCAACGGTATGAATGATTGTATAGAAGTAATGTTGAGGGTAATGTAAGAAAACAATTTATGCTCATGATGTATCATCATCAGATTGCGAATGTTTACGCGTTTTTAAAGTTTTATAAATCAAACTAAGAAAATATATATATATATATATATATATGTAAAATATATGTAAGTATTCTACTTGAAGAGTATTTCTATTTTGAATATTTTTTGCACATTCAAAGCATCTTTAAGTTTTCATCTTTAAGTTTCTAAGAAACGCATAAATATCCGCATTATTTTAAGTGAAACAAATTTAACACGCGCTGCTAAAAATTATAAGTACAACACTTTATATTTTTGTAAGACTTTGTATATTTCATATCATGTTTTAAATAAAAAAATTTCCGATAATTCTCCTGAAAAATCTTAGAACAAGTGCTATATATGTTTCATATTCACAATGCAGAAACGCGATACAATTATCCTAGTTATTAAATCATTAGAAATTGTATCAACTTATCAATTTGCTAGATGTCAAAATAGTCATCGATTTCGAATGTTAAACTCCAGTTTCAAATGTATAAAAAGATAATATATTTCTCGCAATTAAAGAAAAAAATTCTCAAAATGAAATATATTCTACATCGTTTTAAACAATAATTTTGATTTTCATTTCAATGAAATGAAACTCTGACAAAGACTGAAACCATAATGTTAATGATATTATGAGAAATGGAGAAAAATTCTAAAGGAGACGGACTTATGATTATTCTTTACCAAGAGGATTATATCAAAACCTTAGAAATAACTTTCTATAAATTGAACGATTGAACCGTGAGACAAGCTTAAATTTCTAATTGGCGACAGCGTAACCAGCTACGGACTGGTACTTTACTTAACCTCAAGTTTTTTCTACAGAGATGAATAACTATAAAAAAAGAAAGCGATATTTGCTTGACAATTTGTACAATTAGAACATCGGGATTCGATTTCGTCAAATCTTTGGTAATCGTCATTGTAAATATGAAAAATTATTATTTTTTATAGATAAATTTGCAACGTGTACGATGCCTATTATTTCAGAAACAGATGGAATATCTGTATAATGCACTTAATTGCTTGAAGATCTATGCTATCGATTTGACGTAAATCGAACATGGCTGGTTCGATTTGTTGCATCGATTCGACTTTGACAACTCGTGATCGTTTGCCTAATATGTACATACTTCGTTCGAACACGGTTACGTAATTAATACTAAAATCCTCTGATCTTTTGATTTTCACATTTCTTCCTTGCTTTTGTGTCCAAGGCAAACGGCTTTCATATTCACAGATTGCATCGTGATGCATCGTAATATACATATGCATTAATGACCTCGTCATAAAATGATTATTTCCATACTACAAAGTACATACACATATCTTTTATAGTTTGTACAAAGAAGCATCTTCCTGTCGTTGAATAATCGTAATAACAGTTAACGGGAATATAACAGTTCGACGGGTGTATTAAAACGTCAATTTGAACCAGCACACGATAGTTTACCGCAAAAAATATGATTGACAATTATTCAAAAAGTACTTACAAATTCGAGGATAAAGGAGTCACCTCTCCTAATGGCGGTTGATCCGTTTGAATTCGTACCGTGTGCAACATACATTGATGACGTCATCGTCCATGTTTTCGCGCCAAATTTTCAGCAAGTGGAATCGTTCTATTTCCGCCGAAATTGTAACACCGACAGGTATGACATTCGTGCTGAATGATAAAATAAAAACCTCTCGCACTCCTGACGCGTTCTAGGTGTGTTTTTCGTTTTATCAGAACTTTCAGAATGTTCAAATACTGCAAATTGCAATCTCGACGATGTATACGATACAGTGTAAAAGTCATGTTGACAACTTACGCTTTATGCAGAATGCATCGAACTTGTAGCAGGATTAAGAAGCACCATTCTCTGTTTCGACGATAGTGTTAATTAAATGACACGGAATATGATTGCAGGAACGAAAAAAATATGGGAAAAGAAGGAAAAAAGTGAGGAGCGTGGTGGCCGTGCTTCCCTTCCTCCAGTCGGCAGGTTACGCGATCCGCCGAGAGAGGGTGCACCAGTAGCGCCGATAATTCGTAACCACGAAAAGTATAAGTTGCTCTCGTGTAAACGTCCGTCGCCGCGAATATCTTCACGTGTCTTTCTCATCTATTTGTGCGTCGTTGTTCGAATGTCGAGCGTCGAAAGGTGTGCAAGGTGTGGCTGACAGGGATATACTCGTTTACTGTCGTGTGAAAGAACCAGGCCGAAAACAGTTGTTCGAACGTGTACAGCAGCAGGTAAGAATTTTCGTCGTTTTTGGCAGTGCTTGTCTAGATAACTTGCACGCTTGTTTATTTGTCGCGATCGTATCGCTCTTGGGGTAATACGTCTCGTCCATTCCTATCGATTCGATTTGTTTTGTTTGACAAGCGCGAAAGATGCGGAGCACGCGTGTCATGTCTCGATTCAAGGCCAGGGAAGACATATTGGCACGTGAACAGAGCCTATTAAAAAATAGACCTGCCCGACCGAGGGAAATCGCCACGTTCGAATCGATCGGGAATTATTTACAAGTTTGCGTTTATTATTGCCGATCGTCTCGTCGAGTGCATTTGCCTTGAGTTTACGTTTGCGTGTGCTGCGTCACACGAGCTCGCTTGTTGTTCCTTTTACGTTATATAAGGAACACGCTTTGCGCGAATGTGCCGCCGCCATTTTTGTTGACGTAACGAGGCGCGAAATTTAACCGATTCCTGTCGGTACAATACGTACCAAGGTACGACCTTTGAATCGCTCAAACTTTCGATAATCGTATCTGATGTTTCGACAGCGATCTTTTCTGTACTTTATTCGTTCGTTTTGCTGAAAATTTTCAAAGATAGAAGAAGCCTATCGAAAGAACGAGTCGAGCGAAATTTTTATCTAAGCTCTGGTCACAAATCATGTGTTTACACGCGCATATATCTTCTTCACAACGTGTTTGAATAAAGCCCGTTTGTTGCTCGCGTTCTTTCACCGTGATGTATAATAAAATTATCAATCGTCTAATGACCGTCTTTAACAATAACCTCGTATTCGTGGCACGCTATTACGCTATGAACGTTTTATAATTTAATCTGCCCTGTCCACTCATTTATCCATTCACAGAACATCCGACCATGGCATATTTTCCTCCCGCTGGTCGGCTAATACGCTTTAAGATGCGACTTCCCAAGCAGCATCGTTGAACCACATTTTCGATGATTCTACCAATTACCGATAACAAATATATTCGTTTGCGAAAATAACAGGCAAAAGAGATCGCATTTTCAATGGTTGTATCATCTGGTCTCGAAGCTCGGTTACAGTTTCTTGAATTTTCACAAAATTATACAGTTTGGATATGACGACGATAAAATATTAAACAAATCCTTGGAATTCCCTTTGATAGCTCCAATATTAAAAAATAGAATATAAGTTGCTCGATTAAGAAGTGATATTTATTAAAAATCATGTTCTTAAGTAAGCATGAAGAGCTGGATGGATCAAGTAGAAAAATAATTTCGACACAGCAAGACCGAATTTCAAAAGCACTGCTCTACTTATCTTATACTCTTCTATTCGTTCTATGTTTATCAAATATTTCACGCTCATCTTTATCAGTCCCTCGTACAATTCTGTATCTTGTCTTTCAACACCCGATAAGTTTTTGGAATTTCAAGCGCGTGTTCCAAATATTTTGTGGGTCGTTCGATATTCGTGCCACGAAATCGTACGATTTCAATGATGCGCGTACATTATCATTGCATCGTCAGGTTTTCACGTTTAAACTGAAAAGCGATGATCGGCGTGGCAACAAAGACCCTGTTTCTTCTGTTCGCGTATCGACGTCGTACAATTGCGCCTAACTCTGACAATCGATCCGACCGTGGCCCAACTTGACAGCAATTTAAAATCGCTTCTCCTCCTGTGAGCCGTACCAAGTGCAACTGTCATTCTCTCCCACGAAACGTCGCGCAGACCTTCTTCCGCTTCTTTTGCCAGGCGTTTGCCATAGACACACGTTCAACCATAGAATAAGAGAACAAAGTAAACCGAGTAAATGAGTAAAACTCACCG